CACGGCTGGGGCACAGCAAGCTCATTTTCGATGCCTTTGTCACCTAAGGCTTAGTCAGCTGTCGCCTTAAAACTCTGCTGACGAATTTGAGGGTATTTTGTAAGTGGCAAACGCTGCTGCTTTGGCAGAGAATTTTATTTTGGCGGTTGCTCTTGTTACATTCAAGTTCTGCCATGTTCAAGTCACCAATTCTACTGCTTGAGATGTGCTCGGCAGTCCAGGGCAGCCTCTCCCAAAACGCCAGGTTATTGCCACAGAAGAGGCAACGTATGGGCATACCTGGGCTGTCAGGAAAGTCTTCTGGTTGTACAAATTTCAGATGCACGGGTCTTTTACAACACACGCTAAGTATTGCCATGAGAGGAAGACAGTTGGGTTCGTTTCCTTAGAGGGAAACTCAGCTTTCACAAGCTTGGCAAATACTGACCTAGAGGCTAGACGCATACATATCTGCCACCCATTTTAACAGAAATCTGTAAATCTCTGAAAATTGCAAGCTCGGTCAACGTACCCGCATTTAGCCTGTTGAAGTAGCACCAGAGACAGGGAAGAGAGAGGAAAGGAAATATTACAGCACGCACATCAAATACCAGATTAGAGAGGAGAGATGGAGATCAACTAGTTTGAAAACCCAGAATTCCCTTTATGAAGATATTTATATTTTCACCCCTGGGGAGAGTCTGGCCCCGTCCTCTTGACGCCCTCCCTTCAGATATTTACAAACCTCAAGAAGATCCCCCTGAGCCTGTTCTCCCGGCTGAGCAGTCCCCTGCTCTCTCGGCCTCTCCTCGGATGAGAGATGCTCCAGTCCCTTCATCATCTTTGTGGCCTGACCAGTACGATGTTCACAAAGTTGTTAAAATTTTTTTGCTAAGTGATTCTATTGCGTTCTTCCTATTTCCATCTCCGATTTCGTAATACAATTAGAGAAAATTAGTGATTCAAATATTGTTACAGCTTTCAGGGAAACACTTAGGGTAAAGTCCTGGCTCAGCTGACTTCGTTGGAAATGAAATGTCATCCTTACACTTTAGAGCGGACAGAGAGAGATGCTTATTTCCTCTTGAGAAATTAAGTACTTTACAAGAACGGAATTTGTCTGCTTGGTCTGCGTTCGCGCTCAGGCTGCATGCGATTTCTGCCACTAGCTGTAAATTAGCTGCCAAAGGAAAAGAAAAGCTCCCAGCTTGCAGCGGTGCAGGAAAACCTGCAAAAACTTCTGAATTCCTGCAGATTTAAACCTCCGGTCAGCTCATAACTTCTCTTACAAATTTAATACCAATCTGCCCTAAGTTTGTCCACTTACACAACGGCAAAGAATTCAGTTCCTGGTGTTTTACTAACAGGGTAACGCAAACAAGCGTTGCCAGTTAAGAAACTTCACAGTTTGTCTAATTTGCTCACGGTGGGCTTGCATTGGAAGATTTGGGGTTTTAGACCAAAGGCCTATGGTCTGGTTCACTCAGGACACCTTACACTGGCTGGAAGGAGCCGGCAGCGGCAGGTAGGTTGGTCCGGGCAGGGAGGACCTCAGCTAGCGTGACGGCAGAGCAGCCCCCTTACTCCTGATGCGAGCCGCCTCCTTCTGCCGATGATAGCACCGTGCAGGAAAAGCCACAGACTTTCTGGAGGAGGATGTGGGCAAAAGAGGAAGATGAGGCACGCGGCCACCAGTGGCGCAAGCCGCAGTTGTCCCTGAGGGCAATGCTGGCCCTGGGCCCGGGGGCCCTGCGGCCGAGGACTGCAGCCAGCATCGCCCGAGGCAGTGAGCAACCGGGGCGAAAACAAGGGTTGTGAAGAAAGCTCGTGCACTCACACGGCTCGAAAAGGAGGGCGATCAGGTCATATTGCCATGCTTGGAAGAGCCAGCAGTCACATGTAAAGAGGCTGAGCCTATATACACAACTACTTCAGAGGAATACGTGCTGTCTCCCGTACTTGAGCGCGCGTGTCCGTGGCCTGCAGTGTTTGCAGTCGGTCTTGTGAGTCTGCCTGTGCAGTTTAATCAGTCACAAACAGCTGAGGGAGTAGAGGATTTTTTTGTGACACCGCATAGCACGAATGTTATTCAGGCAGCAGCACAAAAAGTGTTGTCTGAGAGCCACCAGCCATAACGATGTGCGTCAATTAGCCAAATGAGAATCTCAGCTAGCCTAATTCTCTCGCCGGGAAGAACGAGGAGCATTTCCTCAGCTCCTCGCTGGCCATGGGGTAGCAGCCAGCCTTTTTGCTGGTGTGGTCCTTCCTAGGCGTTTGGCACGCACACAGCCACCCCGTGCCCATGCTCTTCCCGGGGTGCTGCTACTCCTCTGCCTGGAGGATTTTCCACCACTTGACTACCTCGGCTGCAGGACCCTGTCTGGAGGCACTTCCTTGCGCCTCTACTCTTCCAAGCCCCCTGCAGAGCGAGGAGGGGATGCCGGTGGTGCGAACCCTCGCTCCGGCCCCATGGGATGGGGGTGGAAATGCCCTCGCCGGTTCATTGGGTGCAGAGCTCTCCCACCACGGGCACAGGTGTCACGGTCACTGGGCGCTGACATTTTCCAGGATGGGGCTCTCTGTCGGTCCTCTCGAAGCTCTTCTGCTTTATATAAAAATGCATAAATATTCATGGGTAAGAGAGACTGCTTGTAGCGTCCTTGTCTCGCTAGAGGCATCTGTGCCACGTTTGGGGCTGCCAGAGGCGGAGGCGAGCACCAGCAACCAGCAACTGCTTTGTGCAGCCTGACTTGAGGAGAAAGACAGCTGAAATTCTGCACCCATCCTCCTGTGCCCCCGTGGGACACGGGGAGGCAGGATTTAATGAACGACACCAAATGATACAGCATTTTACAACAGGATCCCTCTCTGCAACCAGAATTTTGACTCTCAGAGTGGTTTCAGTGGCAGTCCTGACCAACCGTCGCACGGGGTCAGACCTAGCGGTCCATCAAGCATCGTGTGGTGACCTATGAATTTTCCTTACATTATCGCCATTTGGAAACAAAATGAACATCTCGTCTTCAATCTGGAATTAAGGTTGTGCATGCAACAGTAAAACATTTGTCTGTGTAACACAGCGCCATATTCGCCAGAGATGTTACCCAGTCACCGAGGGAAGAACCGCTC